TCGGGCATCGATAATGATTATAATATAAATAAGGTACCTAAAATGATAGAGTCGATAAATCAAGATATTATTCATACTTTATTTTAATATTTTTATTTTTATATTCAATATTTTTTTTCTTATACTTAATATTACTATTTCGTAAGTTGATTTATGATACATTTTTAAAATGATGAAAATAATAAAAGTAAATAGTTGTACCTATATCGTATAATATATAGTTATTTTGTATGTTTTAATTGTACCACTCACAAAGAAAAATTCGCCTAAACTCTAATTTAAGGGGGGTGAGATTTTAGTAAATTTACAAGGGGGCGTAGAATGAAAAAGGTTGGAAACCACTGATTTAGACATACTCAGTCCAAGTTTGTTTTTAACTTAAATCTTGACTAACTAAGAATTGAAGATAAATATTTAAGCAATAATCCCTATGTTATACCTAACTAAAATTATCGAAACGAATAGTTACATATTATTATAGCAAACAATAAGAATAAAAATAAACCTCGTTATCAATATATTAATGCAACGAGGTTTTAATCTAAGAATTATTTATTATAAAATATATGTTTTAAAGAGAAATACATGCTCGTTGAACTATCTTAGTAGAAGTAGGTACTTCATAACATAACCACTTTAAAGATAATATAGTTAGATATAATATAATGTGCGCTTGCTGTAGAGAACGTAATTTTTGAAAGAATAATAACCTCAAAAGATATTAATTATCGAATAACGAAGAGAACATTGCATATTGAAATATTAACTGATTGCATGACTTGATGATCATTTCTGGGCCAAATTTAGATCAATTATACTCGTGGAATGATCAATATTGTAAAGGCAATCTAGTATACAACTTTTTTGAACGAAAATTCGTTGAATATTAAGATTTGCAGGCGGTGGTTTCATTTGACATGGATCGATTATGTACGAGATCTTACAAATATAGCTACGTTGTATGCTGTCTTCGACTTTGAGTGATAGGTACCCACTAAATCGAGTAGGCAAGAAACACGTATAGGAGTTAAATTCAAACAAATTGACGAATTGTAACATGATGACTTGTTTCGGACAGCCCGGCGCGCAAAGGCAACTCGAGCTTTTCACAGACGACGTTCACGGGGATGATGGTCGTAAATGGTGGGTGTGGGTGTGGGTCTGCAGAATATGTGATGCACGGTGCGAGTGAGGGGTGATTCAATAAATAGGTTACGACGGACAGGACGCGTCACAAACGTGCCTCGGGGCTGGGCAGCTTACTCTCGTCCTCGTTGCCGGACGACGATGAACTGTTGTAGTCGTCCAGGTGATCTTGGATGGCGGACAGAGACATGCCTTTGGTCTCGAACAGGAACAGGTACGCGAGGATGGTCCACGCGGCGTTGACGAAGCAGAACACGAAGAACATGACGTGCACGCCGAACGCGTCGCTGACGGGCAGGTACGCTTTGTTCATCATGAACGAGCCCAGCGACGAGACGACGGACACCACGGTGACGGCGCGCGACTTGACGTTGGCCGGGAACATCTCGCCCACCAGCGCGCCAGGCACGATACCGGCGCCCATCGAATAGGCCATCGAGAACAGGACGACGCACACGGATGGGCCCCAGTTATCGGGCCGATCGTCGATGTACAGCAGGCAGAGAGCGTACGCGGCGGTTATGGCGGCCAAGGCCAGATGCGAGCCAACGAGCAACGGCCGGCGGCCGTATACGTCGATGAGCGGTACCACGGCCACGGAGCACACCAGCCGGACGACGGCCAACACGACAGCCACGTCGCCGGGCCGGACGGGACCGTGGGTGGGCATCGTGGTGGTCGAGTAGGCCAACACGCAGCCTATGCCGCCAGCACGCTGTGCGAAACACGCTCCGACCACCAGCAACACCGCGACCCGGTTGCCGTCGTCAGTGAACAGCTCGCGGTACGTACCGGGATCTCGCATGTCGTCTCGCACGGCCAACGTTATCTTGTTGAGGCGGCGGTTGTTGTCCACGGTCGTGGAACGCGGCCGGTACCAGCGGAGCGCTGTCCTGGCGTCGTCCAACCGGCTCTTGGCCAGCAGGTAGTGCGGCGTCTCGGGCACGCGGATGACGGCTGCCAGGAATGCCAGCCCGACGGCCAGCGAAATCCCGTTCATGATCTCGTACTTGATCTGCGGCCCAACGGATAGGGCGACGAGCATACCCAGCGAGTCGGACATGACCACGATGACGTTGAGCCGGCCGCGTGCCCGATCAGCTGATATTTCGGCCATGAAGCCGGGAACAGAGGCGTACGCCACAGACTTGCAGGCGCCGGCCAGCGAACGCGCGGCAAACACGGCCCACCGGCTCGGCGCATAGAGCAGTCCGAACGACGCGACCAGGCCCACGCCCACGGCCAACAGACACCCTTTCCGGCCGGCGTGTTCAGCCAGCAAACTGGCCGGCCACGCGCTCATCAGGTTGGCCAGGTCGAACGACGCCACTGCCCAAGAGTGGTCGTCCCGGCTCAGCCATTCGGCCGGCGTGTCGGCTTCCGGCCGCTTAATCAGCGCCCATGACGGCCACCCGGCCCACAGGCCCATCACGAACTCGCTGGCTGATACTAATATAAATAATATTATAATAATTTACATGACAATTAAAACATTGCTCATATAAATATCACACATTGATATTATTTAATATTTTGGTTTAAGCATATTTTTATTTTTTTATTACTAGCAGACCCTGTGCACTTCGTTGCCCGTTAAAATATATGTGGTCCAAACTTTGTTTGATTTGTTATCCAAAAGTTGGTGTATGGTGATGGTGATCAAAACTTAAACATTTTCATCGATCATTTTGAATCTCAAAATACTTGTGCAAGCACCAATTTAAAATGCTTTCTCTATAAAGATTAGCCTTTCTACACAAATCCTGGCAACGGCACTTAGCACTAACCCAAAGCATACATTTTATTGACATTTATAGAATAGAAAACAAATCAAATTTCAAATTTTAAATGTCTATAAATAACTCAAATTGAGTCAAAATATTTCAAAAATTTTATCATGTATACAAAATGATATAGAAAAATGAAAGATTTTACATCTCTGTTTTTCTTGACGCTTTTGAAAACCATAGGGAATTTTTATTTTTGACTACCTAACTAGGTACCAACTAGATTCACTTTCATACCATAAAAGATGCTATTGAAGAAAATCGAACATTTTTATTGTCCCAAAAGGTGATAATAGACACAAAAAAAAATAAAAATCATTGCAAAATCTGCATTAGTCGGTACATTCATTGCTTTGCTCAGAATCTAAAATTAAAATCCACTTATTGAAATAAAATATAGGCTATAGGCTATAAGTTATAGGCTATAGAGTATTTAAACTTTTTTTTTCCGTTCAAAAAACTAGAAACGGGTGGGAACCGTTTAGCACAATACTGCCACCGCGAATATTAAAACCTATGTCAATGGATGCAGTAGCTTTAGAAATTGAACTCTTAGAATTATTGGACGATCAAGGACTGAAACAGTTAAAATACTGCAGTTATCATTATTTGTTGGAATTTTAGAAACATGTGCCCGTTATTAAATATCCAAAAATTACTTTTTGAGCTCAAAAATTAAGAAACAACACATTCTTGTGAGTCAAATACTCGAAAACGTAAATGACTAAATCTAAACATCGCTCTATTTTGACGGATGATTATTTAACGGAATTGTTAAGGACTACTCTAACAACGTATAATCCTGTCAATACTGACATCATAAAACTTACAAAAAATTAAACAAGCAACAAATAAGATATTAATTAATAATTTAAAATTTTAAAAAATGTATACATTTTTTCTATAAATTCTAATGCAATAAAATATTATACTTCTTCAAATACATCGTTATTCATATGAAAACATTTTTTTTGTAAAAATGTTTTGTATCTTACGATAAAATGCGAACCGCATGAGTCTATGACCCAAGCCGCAATTTGGCCACCCCTGATATAGATCCTTAATAGTAAAGGTTTCTGGTGGTTAAATTTGTTTAAAATCGGTAGAGTAATTGTAATTTTATCTAGGTTATCAGATTCTTTTTTCATTAAGTGTACTTAAGTTATGACCAATTTGTATTATTTTATATTTTTATAGCGGGTACCTACTTGGGACCAGGGTTACAAGCACAATATTTTCTTCGGGTATTTTGTTCTAAGCATATTTTTCATATTTTTGTTGTTTTTACCTACCTACCTACATTAGACTCTTAATAAGATAAGATTTAAACATTTCGATGTTTGCTTCTAAGTACAATATATTTGTGGGTACCTAGGTACCTATTGTATATTAATTATTATTTGTACATTTGAATTGTAAATGGATATTTATTCAAAATAGTTTTTATTATTAGTTATTCGTTGATTTATATGTTTTATTTAAAAAATAATTTTTTTTCAAATGTTTTTTATAACCTATAGGTTTTTGCAAATCACAAGATTTTTAGAGCATAAGTACCTACATACTATTTGAATGCATATTTTTTGCCAATTTCCAGCACATTAAATTCACAGCTTTGGTCAAACTATGGATCTTGCTAATGATATATGGTACCTACTAAAAATAGAACAGTTAGCAATCCACGTAAAATCAAAAAATAAACGTTTAAAAATCAATTCAATCAATCGAACAAAATATCATGAAGTAAAATCTTTACAGTTAGGTACTATAAAAAAAAAGATTAAAAATATATAAGTCTTAATGTTTGCACTTGAAATACTCGCTTTACGACTTGGAAGATTTGACGAAGCATATAATAGGTGCCTATAATATTGTTTAGTGTTTTTCGGAAAACTGATACAAAACTTATTCGATTGTCTTATTATATTCATACCTGTAACGACCGCGTAAATTAACCTTTTTCGACTCATGATGATGAATTTTGATAAACTTGTGTGATCAGGTATTCAAGTAGGTTTTTTCAATACAAAAAAAAAAATGTTAGATGCTGATATTTTTTTGTTTAGAATGTATTTCAACTCATAACCCGAGTAACATGAATTTGTTGAATGTACGATTATTTAATAAGCTAATTAAAAAAAAACTATAACCTATAACTAGATACCTATATTCTAAAAATATAACATAACAACGTAAATACTAAATAATAGATACTAATATTATTAAGTAGGTACCTAGGTACCTAGGTACCTACCAGACCTAACGGGAAACCTTATTACAATGTTAGTTATCAGGGGAAGGATTTCTATTCCTTATGAAAAAGTTTTCCGTAGCTGAGAGTTTGAGCACTTAAATGCAAGAGGTTGTTATTAATAAAAATACACGTTTAGTTTATAAATCTAGAAGTATCATTAACATATTTTAATATTTTAAATACTTTATCGTTGGAATATTGGAACTTGGAAGATATGGAATTTCAATAATAAATAATTATTTGGACTGAGTAAAGATATTGTGTGTAAATAAATTATTTCATATTTTGTATTTAGTGTACTTATAATAATGCATAATAATATTATATAGGTTGTAACAAATGTTACAGTTCTACCACAGAATAGATGGAATCTATTAAATCTATTTCATATATTCTGTGAATTGTGATACTACTAATAATATACCTATGTATGTTATTCTATCAGTAGGTATATATACAGTGATTCACCAAGCATTCTAATCCCCTTTTTTTCTGTACTACCTATTGCCCGAAATGATCAATCGCTGACGCAAAAAGTCGCCATATTAATAGGTTATTATCATGACCGTTATTTTTAGCTAACTATTCATATACCTAGCAAATAAATGTAGGATACAGATTAGGTAGGTACCTATGCATAATCAATTGAGTAGGTATGTATGATGATTCCATGTAATAATACTCCATGTAATTAACTAACCACCAAAATTGAATTAAAAAAATTTCATCTGTATATTGTATAAAAAAAATAGAATAAATGTAGCAGAGAAAATACGACAATGCTCTTATAACCACAATTATAAACGTTGATAGCTTAGAACATAATAGAAAAAGAAATCATAAGCTGCAACCAGTACTCACTCGACATTAATGGCTGTATTTTAATTTTTATTAGAATGCAATAAAAATAATAATTAAACTTAGGTACCTACCTATTTTTTGAATCTATACATTATTTTATTATGTATTACATATGAACATAAGTAGTGCCTACTTATATTTAATGGACTTGCAGTTTTTTCTGATTGTCATATTGATTTTTATTGCTAAAGATACATCATACATCAGGGTGATGCACCATGTACCTATGCAGTACATCGGGTTTCTTCATAGAAAACAAAAAAAAAAATATAACACTTCAATATCAATCAATAGTTTCCTAGATTATATTATGATTGATTTGTGGAGCAACTAAATTTAATTTATAAAAACCATTTTGTTAGTACAAGCTCTGTCTATACTCTGTAGACAATAGACATGCAATCAATAGCTCAAACATCAAACTGTAAACGATACCTATTAAGTAAAAATATATACATAGTAACTAAACATTTGTTTTGATTTATTTTATTATAAACCGCACATTTAAACTAGAAAACGTAATTTACGTTGTCTATATAGTAATAATAGCATATACCATTATCTACTTACCAAGAACTGAATCCAGCCAAATCAGAAATAGAAAATAAAAATAAAAAACCTAAAGCTTTATATTATGATCAAAACTTTAGATATTTTATGTTTGCATGACTCGTTAGCTCATACAAATCTATACAATACATAAATAACACATAATCAAATTTACTGTAGATAGTAGATACCTACCAACAGTTATTTGAATAAAAACATTTTATTCAAGTAAAATAAATGTCAAGATTAACTACAGCATCATAAATATTCATAATAACAAGGTTTTTCCTTCGAGTTCATTGAACAATTGGAACTCCAATTGAATGCAATTAACTATTTAGTTTGGAAAATGCAAAATTATTAAATACCCCTTTTATACAACCTACTTCAAAATATTTTAGTAGTATTAATATACCTACCTACTTACCATGTTGTAAGTGGAGATTTAATCTCCCCACCTCCCCATAAGGGACACTTACTATGAACCTAAAGGCTAAAATATAAGGATAAACTTTTATATTTAACTTTTAAATATTACGCGTAGGTAATATTATAGGTATACAATGTAGATGCAACTATAAACTAAGTAATAAGGTATACTTGAACTAAAGAATTTAACTTAACCTAATTTTATTATGTTGAGAAAATATTTCTATAAAATAAATGTGATAACACGCAATTAAAGCATGACAAATAAAATATGTTTTTTTACCCAAGTTTACCAGGTTTTTTCAAACATTTTTGCTCGTTAGCGATGATATAGCATATTATATTATTGGGCATATCGCGAGCGAAAAATTAAAAGACTGTGACAAATTTAACACAACGAATATAGAAATTGACAATTATATTTATCTAAAAACAGTATTTTGTATAAATAATATTACGTTAGATACTACGGTATAAATTAAATATATTTTAAAATATTAAAATAAATATAATATATATTATATGTATAGCCAATATAGCCGTAAAAACTATTAAAGTTCCCAGATCATTCAGACAACACACGAGATACACACATGATAACATACAACGAACAATTGTGATGAAAACGAAACTCGTGCTTTTTATCGTTAACGGTTTCACAGATCAATTTAGTGAAAGAAGCTATATCACATTGTTGTTTAACAATTTATAAATACACATTTATTAACATATAGGTACCTTTATATAGGTACTGAATTATACGATAGTAATATACTTGTATATAAATATATACAGGGTGATTCAAAATTTATGTTACAGCCATTTTAACATATAAATATTCAAATTAGTGAAAAATGTATGGTACAAAAGTTTTTTGATTTAGAAACATCTATTATGATTTCCCAATTTTGTAATTGTTAACAACATTTTAGGGGGGTTTTGGGGGGTCAACTTTAGAAATTCAAATGGAAACCTATNATTTGAATTTCTAAAGTTGACCCCCCAAAACCCCCCTAAAATGTTGTTAACAATTACAAAATTGGGAAATCATAATAGATGTTTCTAAATCAAAAAACTTTTGTACCATACATTTTTCACTAATTTGAATATTTATATGTTAAAATGGCTGTAACATAAATTTTGAATCACCCTGTATATATATATAAATAATTGGTATTCGCTTAATCGAATTGACGTTAAATATAAACAAATAATAAAAAAATAACGAAAGCGCCCTATCAGTCATCGTTTACCTCCTTAATTCAACAAGTGTAAAATACAATATATTATTAGGAAGATACCTTGATGTACCTCTGCACTGAACGAAATGCACAGGTCCCACTATATACACTCAACTGAATAAAACAAATTTCGGGTTTGACGTGAACATTTGAAAGAAAATCTAACGCGGTCCGTCGTGTGGTGATGCAATTGGAGTAATTGGACGGACAATTTTCCGTAACTTTTCTGCCAACTGCCAAAGTCTTACCTTTATAACACGTTGACATTTATGTCGTAGAGAGCTGACTGCAATACTTAGATACTATTTACCTGTTGTATGGTACAGTTATAGAGGGTGAGCACAACATCAGCGATCCAAAACGAAAAACAGACTTCAGCACAACGATTATTAGTTTAGTATAAAATTCGTAACTGAGACATCGAGTACCATCCATGTATTAAGTATATAGTGGGACATGCGGCGTTCTGTGTACGATGACGTAAGTCCAGAGATTTGTACACATACCTAC